TCAACTAGATTTTACAGTTTGGGATCAAGTTTGACTAGTTTTGATATCTACTAAGTTAATATCATAACCCAACCCTTTTTTGGAATCACTTTCAATCCAATTGGTTGAACAAACCACGGCAGGCCAAGTTTCAAGATAATGATTTTCCAGAATGATGAGAGAAACTATTCTGCACTTTAAAAAGGTTAATTACCAAATTTTAAAGGTTGGGATAAATTTTCAAGAAAACTAAAGGTTAAGGACCAATAAATATTTAGAAACCTTTTCACAATTTCTTTCTGTGTCTGTTGATTTGTTATTCAATAACTAATCATCACTTGGGCAAATTTCACATAACCTTGTTATGAGTTTTCTTTGACTTTATTGAAACTAATATGCAAGAATTGTAAAGGGAACAATGACAACGACCTATTCATAAATTGGAGACTAAGTACTTGCACTGACCAAAATACTACTTGGATATAGAGCTTGATCTAATTCAAAGAATTTTGAATTCCAAATGAATTCCAAGTTCCAACAGCATCGAACATGGTCCCAACAAGTATCGGTGCAGCCAAGGTCGTCTGTCTTGTTCTACCTTGGCTCAACTGCAAGCTCAACAGCATTGCACTCCGTGCACTAACACCAAGTTTTTCAATTGTTAGCCTTGTTGTGAATGTTGAGAAGGGGATTACAGCTGAGGATGTCAATGCTGCCTTTAGAAAGGCAGCTGAGGAGCCATTGAAGGCATATTGACCGTCTGTGATGTTCCTTTTGTGTCAATGGACTTCAGGTGCAGCGATGTTTCTTCTAACATTAACACTTCACTAACCATGGTAATGGGAGACGACATGGTTAAGGTGGTGGCCTGGTATGATAATGAATGAGGTTACAAGTCAGGATACATTTCTTAAAACCCTCTTGTTTCTAACAATATCTTATTTGTGACTTACCAGTTACTAACAGTAATATGATGGATATTTGTAGCCAAAGGGTAGTTGATTTGGCACATCTTGTAGCAAGCAAGTGGCCTGGCATGCCTGCTGCACGAAGTGGTGATCCCTTTGAAGATTTTTGCAAGACAAACCCTGCTGATGAAGAATGCAAAGTTCATTAAGCGTAGATCATATGAGTTTTCTTGTCAAGATGAATGCTACAATGACTAGGTTTTTGCAGATGCTTATTTTGTAATGATAGTTGCTTCATCATGAACATGATAATCTTTTGATATAGGCAAAGCTAATAATGAGATTGTTTCTAATTCTATTGCCTTTACCTCTCAAAATATATACAAAATTAATGAATCCATATTCCAATTAATTCCTATTAGATTAGTTAATTAAAACCAATTAGTTAAACCAAACATTGGTTTTCCAATGTCAAAAATTACTAACAGGTTGATTGGTTGAAGAGCTTGACATACCAAAGCATCCTTGGGAATGTAAAGATGCATGTGTCTTCTCCATGTGCATGCATCCATCTGATAGGATTGTTTCTTCTGGCTCTTTTCTTTTCCTTGAACTTCATCAACGGTAATTGAATCAAGAAGTGAGCAACTACATTATCCCTGCATGTTATTATTACTTTTTTTTAGAAACATAAGAAATTTTAGGTTTCCAAACCACAAACAGGAGTTGAACTCCCAACCTACTAGTTTAGGCTTGGGTGGTGAACCGTTCGGCTCGCTAGTTAAGGCTGATTCCTCCATATATTAATTAATTGACAACTAAACAAACTATGAAATTTAAATATCTAACTTTGTTGTATGCTTAATTTTCCTGCTTAAGAATATTCTAAAAATGTAGTAAACTAGTCTTTTTAATCAAGATTTTAAAATCATACCTACAAAAGATGAAGTTGTTCAATTGCTTGAAGCCAATTTCCACTGTATTTTATTTTTCTCCTCCACGCATTGAGCATCTGGTGTTGCCCATCCGATCATTGACATTCTTTCAACCTCAACTTCTTCTGAAGCTTGCATCTCACAATCTATCTTGAATGTTAAAAGAAGCGAACTTTCCTAGATGAGTTTTTTAATGTTAGATGTCATGGACAATGTTAGAGACTACCTAACATGTAACTGATTTTTAAAACAGATGTCTCCATTATAGTAAATCAAAATTTCTGGACATGGGGCATTGTGAAACAAGAAAAAGTTGAGTTCCAAGTTGTACAAAATTGTGTCTATACATTTATAAAGCTCACTTGTCAAAGTAGATCTTCTTTTCAAAAGTAGATATTGACAAATAGAGCTATACTACCAGACTGTATTAAGTTGAATTAAAGCTGTTTTCTTATAAGGAAAAATCAGAGCAAACTTTAGCAAAGCATAGGAATTGTACCTGAATGATCCTTAAATAGGCTGCAAATAAAGAAAATTAACATGAGTAGTGTTACGGTATCAGAGACAAGGACAATTCCTCTTCATGTATGAATTAAAATCTAGCAAATTTGACCATAAAACATAGTCATGGTAATATACCACCCTAGCAGGCAGCAGTGGAAGCAATTGTGCCCTACTGCTCTGAGCAACCGGAATGTTTCCTATAGTAATCATCCTTGTGAAGATGAAATCTCCTTTGTAACAATCTAATTTTTCCAAATAAGCTTGATATTACAAACTACCATATCCTTTACCCAGCCATACTTGATATGCCTGAAGGAAAATTTTAATTATAAATATTCAAAAAAGGGTGCAGGAAGATTAAAATGGCCAAATGCGAAGAAGTTGAAATATTAGCTGTGCTCAATATACCTACTCACTCATAGTAAATATTAGCTGTGCTCACCATGCCTACTCACTCACAAGGAATATCAACTGTGCTCACCATGCTTAGGCTGCTGACAGAAACTTGTCTTCCACAAAAACTTGCAAATTATTTAACTTCAAAACCCAACAGTTTCTTCATCAAATTTGAGAAGAAATGCCAACATGATAAGCTCAGAAAGTGAATTTATGTGATCTTCTTTCTCCCAAAAAATTCCCCAAGCTATTTCTTCAGAGAAATATGAAGCATTTAAAAAAGAACCTTTTGATTGGTAGTTCTGTCAATCTTCACAATGTGAAGCCTTGGTCTCGCCCTATGCCAACATATCATTTGGCTAAACAACATTTGCAGAAATTCTATCAAAACTTTAAACATGTATAGGGAGCCTACTAAAATTGAAAGAAAAAAAAAATCCCAAAAGCCAACTTGCTGTAAAATTTGAATACAATGATAAAAAATTATTTATTAACATTTCATGAACAACAATGGGAAGTCATGCTAAGAAGTGCCAAACACAGAAGCAGTATTTATGTTTCTACTTATTTCAATTTCCTCTTGTAGCTAGCTGAGGTTCAAATTAAGTAATTGTGGCTCCAAAAATTGAAAAGACCACATTAGATGAATCAAAAGGAAATCAATTTCATACCAGTTTTGAATTGCCAGCATCCAAAACCTTTCTCATCATAAACCTCTTATTTATATGACTTATATAACCATGTATACTTTTAACCTCCTTAGCAGCACCTTTCTAATTCCTAACATCCACCTATTAGTTCCATGCATATAAGACATAAAAGTTAAAAACTATGAAATATTATAAATGTGACTAAGGTTATCAAATGGTTACAAATTTATAATTAAAAACTTGACCTGAGACAATAGGGATGATTGGTAAAATTGCTTTATAATCATCTATTCTCTTCAGAATTTAATAATCCAAATTTTCAACACTTTAACTATGGCAATTCAAGCTCATATCACTAAGAAAAGATCAAAAGATTAAAAATTAAATTAGGTTTTAGTTTCTATATAAAAAAATAAAAACAAAACTTAGTAGCAACATTTAACTCATCTTAGATTTGCTGCCAAGGTTATGAAAAGAGGTGGTTATGCTACTTGAACAAATGTGCAATCTCACAGGTTTTAAATTAAAGTCAAAATAGATTTTTTGCTTGGTAAATTTGACCCAAATTTGGAATTAAATCACATCTAGAATTAAATCCATTAAATCCCAAATCTAATTACCTGCCACACGGTGCTTTTTCCATGGTGTTCATGTATTCCTTGGTTTCCCTCGATTTTTTACTTAGTAAATTTGACCTTGGATTTTCATATGAAAGCTGGTAAATGAAATTTATAATGGGAGTAGCACACAGTCCTAACTCCTCGTACCTAGCTCATTGCATACATAGGAAGAATTCATTTAGAAGGGAATCAAATTTACAAACTAAATTAAATTCTTGTTAGCTAAGAACTATAAATTATGTAAAAAATCCTTCTCATGAGATTGCAACATAATCTTAAACCAACTATACTAATTCCCAGTATATATTATTATAATAAAACCAAAACCATTAAAACTCACACGGGCCACATGTGGAACAGTTGGTGTGCATGAGAAAGGCGCCACCTTCATTCTTCCGAATGAGAAGTGAGAAAGCCCTCGGCTTGGACATCAATGATCCAAATGGAGATGGATGCTCGCTTCAGAACCCGCTTCTCCGAAACACATGAGATTGCCAACGTCAGGGGGATTCTTCGATTTGGATTTTATAGCAGAAGAATAGTAAAGGCATCCCTTTGTGTGAATTTCCTCTTCTCCATCGTTTTGGTCTAGTATGAGCCTTGAATTTGAGACACAGAGCATGGAATCAAGGGCAAAATCTTCATTGCCCGTGGTCGAATCTGCATTATGTAAATAAAAAAAAGAAAGATGAAAACAATTGAGAACCAACCCAGCAAATTCTGAGCGAAAATAGCTAGCAATTCCTTACCTGTTATTTTCAGAAAGCAAACCCAGCAAATGATGGGCACAAACCTAAGCAGGAAATCGTTTGCGGAAGCAGCAACTGATCGAGCAATCATGGGGATGGTTCTTGCAGTTTTTTTATAGCAGAGGAACGCACAACAGCGGAAGCATGTATCATCAAAATGTCTTCAATGCTTGCCGTTTTGGGTCAGTTAAGCCCATCCAGTATGTACCGATCATCACTTAGACGAAGTAAATAGCGACACTCAAAATGTAGAGCAAAGTTGCATTCAGAGTGGGGACATTTAAGAGCCAGCTGATCTTTGCAAGGATTGCCACACTCATAACATTTCGGATAGGGATATTTCTCACTCTGGAAATATATGAGAGGTCGTTGATGAGAATCACATCTACTAAACCAATCAAAATAGATGCTACCGCGCTTGATAAATGGGTATTCTCCAAGAACGCAATCGGGATGAGCATCAAAATCGCACTCATCACACCGATAAAACCAGAGCTTTGGATCTCTTCTATCTTCACAGATTTCACACATGTGTTGAAATGGATCACCACCATCATCCTTGTAAGGATCTTCATAAGTGAGTTTTAGAGGGTGATGGTGGAACCTATGTTCAGCTGTAAGGGGCCATGTCATGCATCTGTAGTCCAAGGCAAAAAATTTGCAATTCTCCTCTTCCTCTGCTAGCGTGCATCTGTAACCACCATGATCACCCATTCCCTTACCGCAGCCACTACATGGTCCCTTGTGATCTTCATCACAGAAGAGGAAGTGCTGAGCATGTGCTTCATGCTTAGTGATGAAATCAATCTCACTACATCTGTGGCAAATTTCCCTCCTATTACCATCAACTCCTTTCCAGATGGAACAAAAACCGCTGCAGTCATACTTACAAAATCGACACTCAAAATGGGACTCCATGATAACTAGAACAGGATCTCGGGAAGCCCAATGTGGTTTGTCCTCTCCAATTTGGGCACATGCCTTGTGAAGGGAGAAATTACACTTTGCTTGTGGACAACTGTAAGCGGCAGTCAAGATCGGTAATGCACACCCATTGCAACATTTTTTATCACCATTTATAATAATCTCCTCATTATCAAGCACTAATTCATGCCCGTGGCTGAAATGATCTATCTTGTCTCCTAACGCCACAGCACAACTTGAAGAAGAAGAAGCCTCATTATCACTTTCCTCATTTTCTGACTCAACTTCGATATAAAGACGACCTTCATTCTTTTTTACGCAACTCCCATGAAGAACATAAGTACAATCTGAGTGCAAACATTTGTAACTCCCATACTCTGCCACCACCTTTTTGAAACAAAATTGACAGGTCCATTTTTCACCCTCTTTTTGTGGAAGACTGTACTTGTGGCAAAGTATATGATGATTGTGCAGTTTGATTTTGATGAATTTTGGCAGGAAAATACAATCCTTATGGATCATGATGCTGCACGTGGAACAAACATAGCGAGCACCATCTCCTTCCGCCCCACATGCATCGCAATTGAAGGAATTTTTCCTCATGAATGGGGTCAACTGGTGGTCATGGATCTTACTTTTTTGGAAGAACTTGAGTAAGGTACACCCATGATGAATATAAAAGTCACAATGGGGGCATTCATATCCACATTTCTTCACATCACTTTGATCTCGGTAAATGAAATATCGGCAAAAGTTGCAGGGATCCTTTGCCGAAAATACAAAAGTAAGAGGGTGTTGAGGGTGGGCAACATGCTCAATCTTAGGCCACAACTCTGCCTCACATTCTTTGTGAAGGAAAAATCCACAATCAATACAATTGTAGAAAGAAGTGCCTAGTAATGGTTTTGGGCAAACAGAGCAGGAAGAATTTATTTCAACTTCGTTGCTAAGCATTTGGACAAAGACAAGTGGGTGTTCAACATGGCTAAAATGATGATGATCACGTTTTGGGAGATCTTTGGTGATGAGCAAAGCACATCGGGGATCAAGCTGGAACTCACAAGAAGAACACCTGTACCTACATCCCTTGATAAAATTAAGACAAAATTTACATACTGAACTCCTCCACCATTCGGGCCCGCGTTCTTGGAGAGTAATAGCATGTTTATCATGGAAAGGGTGATTAATTTTCGAAGGTAGCTTTTCAAAATCGCATGATTTATGAACAAAAAATTGACATTCTGGGCAGTAATAAAAAGAACTTCTAGATAATGATTTTGAGCAAACAAAGCAATGAGAATGTGGTAGTTCAACTTTATTGCTGCTAATAAGATCCTTTTGGATGAAGAAGAGTGGGTGTTCTTGAACATCACTAAAATGATGATCACGTTTTGGGAAATTTCCAGTGCGGAATTGTGGAAGAAAAGCACATTCGATGTCAAGGTGGAAATGACAAGAAGAACAATGGTAAGACAATCCTACAGGATAACGATAATTACGACAAAGTTGACAACGTACTCCCTTATCCCGTTTAAGAAGAGTAAGAGTAAGAGTGTGCTTCTCATGGAAGGGGTGACTGATGTTCAATGGTAGCTCAGTCTCAAAACATGATTTATGAAAGAAAAGCTTACAAACAACACAAGTGTAAAAGGAAGCATCCAATAACTGTTCTAAGCAAATACTACAATAGCAGAAAGAAGGTAGTTTAACTTCATGGCTATGATTTTCGATGAAGAAGAGTGGGTGTTCAACATGAATCTGATGATCAACTTTTGGAAGATTTCCATTGAGGAATTGTGGGAGCAAGGCACATTTGATGTCAAGGTTATATTTACAAGAAGAACAGTGGTAAACAAATCCATTGACTAAATCATCACAAAAATCACAAAAGGCCCAGGGTGGTGCATTGGCTAAAAGAGTAAGAGGATGATTATCATGAAAGAGGAAAGTGATGTTCAGTGGTAGCTCAGCACATGATTTATGAAGGAAAAACTTACAGTCGATGCATACATAGAACTGAACTGAGATTGGCCGCCCACACCCTGATGAGCATTTTACATCTCTAGTCTTATTGTGGACTTTCCTGCTCAACTCTTTACAGAAGTACAGTGGATGTTCATGAAGAAAGAATTTGTGCTCCATCCGCTCTCTCTGTATATGTATATATCAGAATGAAGATATGTGAGACAATAGCAAGTGAGATGGGAAATATAAGTTGTTGAAAACTAGTTAGCTAGCTTCAGGTGAGGATGAGGTATCCATTAAAGCAAGGAGCAACACCCTATTTATAAATTTTAAAAAACCACTTACACCACTGTTGTATGTGTGTGACAAAAAGGAATTGCGTCAAATTAGACTCTCTTGCTTCTCCTTTCCTTTATTCCATTTTCTTTCTCTTTTGCCCTTTTTCTTTTTCCATTATCAACAAATTAAGGAAACAATTAAACATAAAACCTCATTCAGCTCATTCCCAAGTGCGGTATTCATCACACTTGGCATAAAGGCATCATGCTTCTTTACTGTATTATTGCTGAGAATCTCTTTAATGTTTCCCATAGTTTGCATATCTTGTGACCCCACCCCTCTTGCCATTTCTCCTTTTTTATCTGCCAATGCTTAGGGGGCTGGTTATCCCCAGGGACTATTGTAACTAATTTCTTTATGTATTCTTTATTTTCACCAAAAAAAAAGAAAAGAAAAAAACTCAAAATTCGCCTACATTCAGTCAAATCTTAAAATAAAATTAAGAGAGGAAAAATAAGAGTTTTTCATATTCATTTCTAAAAGTATTAAAAATAAAGTAAATTAAATTCTATCTAAAAGTAAAAATAAATAAATCTATGAGAGAATATGATAAATAAGTCTACGAGAATAATATGAGATTACAAAATAAAAGATTTTTCATTCAAAATATTGTTGAAAGCTTTCATACTTGGTTGATCTTATAATAGTAATATTTTATAGAAGACAAACCCTAATAAAAAAAAAGACATTCAATTAAAAATAAATTTATAAACTAATAAGATACTTGCATACTGAGTTTAGAATAAATAGAAAAGACATCTTGAGAAAGGATCTATTTGCTTTGAAACCTTAAAAAAGTAAAATCCTAATTAAAATAAAGGTCTAACTTGTAAAAGAAGCAAATCTTTGAATGCAAATTAATTTTGAAAGTTGAAACCCATTTTGTGATTTTCATTTCTTTGAGATTGCGCATCATTCTTTCCCACTATTGTAAACTTAGCCTCGAAGTTTTAAAACGTCGAAGCATTAGAAAGCTTGAAGTTTCAAGGTAGTTCCAAACAAGAAAATATTCCTTAAATTAGTGTATATTCAAATTAAATTACTTTAATTAAAACCTATAATGATTAAAACCTATTGTATGGTATATATAGAATTAAAATAATAGCACAGTTTACTACAAAAATATATATATAATATTTGAAATATAAGAGTACTTTCAATAAGAAACGATCTTTTGTTTTTTGCTTTTTTGTCTATGACACAAGGGCACAACGTGGAGTTAAAGGAATTTTACCGTAACTTGTTAGAAAACTTTTTTAAATCTCTTAATATTAGGTTAAAAATTTTATTAAAAGTTAATAAAATATAAGTGTACATCAATTTTGATAAATTATATTTAAAAATTTATTATATATTCTGATATATCAATATTTAATAAAATAAATTTTTAAATTTTGAATTAAATTTTAATTAAATAAAATGATTTAATTTAATATTAAAATTCTAATTATTGTAAAAATTGAAATTAATACACATTTTTTTCATAAAAATAATATATAAAGTGAGATTACATTTGGGGAGTCATGTTAAAGAGACTCGCTATTGTTAATTATTAATACTCTTATTACGGATGGAACCCCATCGCATAATGGCTCTCGTTTTCTATCTGTCACATGATAGCATCATCAACTTATTTCTCGGCCCAATGACATATTTTTTCTTTTATTCTAAGCCCAAATAAATTTTATTTCATTTATTAACCTAGCTCTAGCTCAATAAGATAGCCCATATTTGTTAAAACCTAGGTCCAATTGGTATAAAAGTAATAGTTCAACCCGACAAAAATTAAACCAGACCTATACTGGACTAAGCCCACAAACGGATCACATTCCCCGATTTAAATTAGCAAAACTCACAATAAAACTCAAGTCCGCAAACAAATATTTTTTTTTTTATTTTACAAAAGAGTATTTTGAAGATTGAATTACATTAACTTGTATAATTTGTTATAAATTATTAGATAAGAGACAGTTTTATACATTAAAAATTATCAATTTTTCTTTTTAATAGATCTCGTTTTGCAGCTTTGATATCAAATCACAAAA